GGGAGGGGGGGTTGCTGGGGACTCCCCCCCTCCCCTTTTTGCCCCTCCCTCTCTGCTCAGCTGACTCTGGCCTGGTGGGGAAAAAGGGGGGGGGGGTCCTCCTCCCTCTCTGCAATTCCTTCCCCTCCTTTCAATTTGGGGGAGAATCCCAGATCTCGTGTTTTCATTGCGCTTTTGGATCGGGGGCTCCATGGTGCGCAGCGGGGAGGGGAAGGGGTGGGAAGTCACCGGCTGGGGAGGATGGGGTCTGTACTCTTGAAGGTTCAATCCCCTGCCTGCTTTCTCTGCCCATCCTTCGTCCCCCCCCCCCCGCTCTTCCCAGCCTTTAACAGTAACAAGAGTTGGAAGGGACCTTGGGGGTCATCTAGCCCAACCCCCTTGCTCACGAATCGGGGGATTCGAACCACCAACCTGCCGACCTAATTTGCAGTGATGGGCCGGAAACATCCAAATGACTAGTTCCTGATTAAGGCAGCCAGCCAGCATTAAATACCAATAACAGATAGAATAACAGAGTTGGAAGGGACCTTGGGGGTCATCTAGCCCAACCCCCTTGCTCACGAATCGGGGACTCGAACCACCGACCTGCCGACCTAATTTGCAGTGATGGGCCGGAAACATCCAAACGATCCTTCCTTCCTGACTAGGGCAGCTAGCCAGCATTAAATAGCAATAACAGATAGAATAACAAGAGTTGGAAGGGGACCTTGGAGGCCATCTAGTCCAACCCCCTTGTGCGCGCGTGTACGAGTCCTGCACTGGGGATTTGAACCGCCGGCCTTCTTTTCCAAATGACAAGCCTGAGCGCCTTAACCCCTGAGCCACCTCTTCCCATCCCTCCGCCGTGCCTCGCCAGGGGTCGAGCCTCCAGCTCCCAGGGCAGTCTATCTGAGCGCTCATTATCTTGGGCACAGCCTGGTTTTTTTTCCTCAGGCCTGGCTGGGGATGATGGGCAGAAGAGTCCCGTGCCCCCCCCCCCCCCGCTTTGAAACTGCTGGGTTTCGAAATGAATCATTTTGGGGGGTGATGGGGAAATTGTTTGGGGTTGGCAAACAGGTGTTGTTGTGGGTTTCTCGTTTCCTTTTTCGGTCTTTTCACACTCACACACACAGATACACACAAACACACACACACACCATAAAACTTGAAGCCAAAATTTGACTTCCGGCTTTGAAATTGGCACCTGCCCGTCATGCCAAGCAGCTAAGCCCCGCCCCTTCCCTCCCCCTCCCCTCACCCCATGGAGAGGACCACACCCCAAAAAACCCCTTTTTTTTTGCAAAATTGCACCGTGTCCAAATGACGTTTTTGGCTGAATCCGCTCCCGGCTCATGCCAAAACAAAAACAAAAAACCTCAAACTGGGTCCTGCGTGCGAATGTCGCTTCGGGTTTTGCAAAAATAAAAAATAAAAAAATCGAATTGGATTAAGAAGCGTTTTTATCCTCTCCGCTCAACGCAGGGGAAAAACGCACCCGATTATTTTGTGTGTGTGTGTGTTTTTTAAACGAAGCCTGTTGCAGACTGGCCTCCCTCGCAGGGGGAGCGTGCAGATCAGCCGTAAGCCAGGATCGGACTAAAACCGTGGCTTGTGGGCACAGCCCAGGCGTTGGGCAAAGGCTCATAAACCGGGAAGGTTCGTGCCACACTGTGTTTGGAGAGCATTGGGGGGTGCCGACCGCAAGCAGCTTTGCGGGCGGGTTTGGGGTTCGAGGGGAGGCCTAGACACCCCCAAAAGATTGGGGAGACGCCCATCCTCTTCAGCATCGTGGTTTAATGTAGGGCCTGTCTCAGCCGCCTCCCGGAAAACCCACCTCGGATCTGTGGTTTCCCGTGTGTTTCCGCCGGAAGTGACTGAAAACCATATCTGTTCCTGGATTTGCTAGATGTCCACCTGCGGGGAATTTCCCCCCACAAACTTTGCAAAAGCGTCAAAATACAATTTTAATCGCTTTAAAAACCCTCGTTTTGACCCCCACATTTCCTCTGCTCTGCGTTCGAGGGCCTCCCCTGTCGACATTTTGTGTTGTGGTTGTTGTTTTTTGTTTTACGACGGCTCGTTTAACGGCGCTCAAAGCTGCAACGGGGGCTGGAAAAAGGGGATTTGATTGACCATTTTAATGCCCCTAAAAATTTAAATTTGGGGGCTTTGGTAACACAAAGAGATCCAAATTCACCGGCTTGGCAGCTGCTTCGTACTTACGACCGGCCGTCTCATTCCCCTTCTGTGACTTTCGGACCAGCCGCGTCAATTGGGGGGGGGGGGGAAGGAGACAGATTTGCTTAACGACCGGATAAGCAACTTATGGGGATCACAAAGAGATCCAAATTCACCGGCTTGGCAGCTGCTTCGTACTTACGACCGGCCGTCTCATTCCCATTCTGTGACTTTCGGACCAGCCGCGTCAATTGGGGGGGGGGGGAAGGAGACAGATTTGCTTAACGACCGGATAAGCAACTTATGGGGATCACAAAGAGATCCAAATTCACCGGCTTGGCAGCTGCTTCGTACTTACGACCGGCCGTCTCATTCCCATTCTGTGACTTTCGGACCAGCCGCGTCAATTGGGGGGGGGGGGAAGGAGACAGATTTGCTTAACGACCGGATAAGCAACTTATGGGGATCACAAAGAGATCCAAATTCACCGGCTTTGCAGCTGCTTCGTACTTACGACCGGCCGTCTCATTCCCATTCTGTGACTTTCGGACCAGCCGCGTCAATTGGGGGGGGGGGGGGGGGGAACCCGA